GATAAAACTAAAGTTTTTCCCACTTACTCCGTTAAAACACTGGGAATTTTTGGTGGAAAATGAAGAAAACTCAAAGTCTCGTACTTTGAATCGGTTTTTCCGACCAGAAAAGCCCTGGAAAAGCGGACAAATTCAAAGAAAAACCTCTAGAAATGACATTCCAAATTTGTGTCATTTTAAAACTGGACATTTTTGCCAGAAAATGAAGAAAAGTCAAAGTCTCGTATGCTAGAATGGCCTTTTTTCCATTGAAAAGTCCCGGAAAAGTGGAAAATTCGAGGAAAAACTGGCAAAAAATTACAAGGCATCACTTCAAAATGGCTAACTAAAAGCAACGTTGCCACATCTCATTTCGGAAAACAAAAATAACATTTTAAAAGGGTTTTTTGTTTAAAATTCAATTTAATAATTAGTTAATAATGATTATAATAATTAAAATTCCCCAAATAAATCATAGGAAACTTGTTTTTAGTTTAATTTCAATGAAAATGACATTACAAGGTTTCCTTTATTGATTATAGTGAGTAAGACAAAGACAATGATAAAGTAGTATATGTTTGCAAAAACCACCGTTTTCTGAAATAAGTAAAAATCTTAAGAAAACCAACATTCCAAAACCAATTTGATAAAACCAAAGTTTTTGAATATTCCCGACTCTTTGATCGGACGCTAAAAATCGCATTTTAAATACTCCCGGTTTTTAATTAGCTCTAAATTATCCGCTGACCAATAGAATTATAAATTAGAAATTAATATAGAATTATAACTCTAGCCCTTCGGGCTCGTATAACTCCGGCCCTTCGGGCTCGCATATAACTCCGGCCCTTCAGGCTCGCATATAACTCCGGCCCTTCGGGCTCGCATATAACTCCGGCCCTTCGGGCTCGCATATAACTCCGGCCCTTCGGGCTCGCATATAACTCCGGCCCTTCGGGCCGGTATTACTGAGTATCCCAGATTCTAAGATATTTGTCGTGAAGGCGTGGGATTGATTGAAATAATGTCAGATTTTTCTAAATTACATTGAAATATCGAAAATTGGAAAGTGTAATTTGTTAATTATTATTTTAATTAGAAATCAGAAATACAAAATTGAGATTGAATTTTCAATTTTTTGGGGGAGGTTTACAGGGCCGTAGCTAAAGTCAAATTTAAGATAGGGCATGACAAATTTGACATAGGGCATACACTACTTGCCCCCCCCTTAAATTTTTTTATAGGTAAACAAAATGGGGCTAATGGCGCCGAAGGCAAATTTTTCAATAAATCAAGGTTCAGGTTGTATGGTAATGGGTAACTTGATGACGCATCTGATCTGGGATACCTTATAGAGATTTGCATTATGTTGAGGCACACCAGATGACGTCATAAAGTTGCCAGGGCTGGGACTCTGTAACGTATAGAGATCGTTATCCCTATCGCTATGACACTTGCTGTCTTCTTCTCTCTTCTCGAAATCAATAGAGAGGGGACGTCAATAGGAATAGAGAAAATATCTCTATTCGTTACAGAGTTCTAGCCCAGGCATCCCACCTTTCTCGCCTTTATCAAAGAACCCTGCAATAAATAACATCTCTGGTAAGTAAACAAAATGGCGCGGATTTTCGCGCCGATCGCCTGGCCATTCGCCATCTTTCAAATCAAAAAAAAACTTCCACTGTGCAAACGTCAAACATTGTTCATTAGATTTAGGCATTTTCGGAAACATTCATCCTCGCTTAATCGATTTCAGGCCTATCTACTTATTCAGGCATCATCTAGGTATTCTTAAATTTTTTTAAAGAAACCTTGTTGTATGTTGTATGTTGTATGTGTTGGAGGTGTCAGTTGCACCGCGACCTGGTAGATCTAGTGTACCCCTCCTTCTGCTGCCAGGTCAGGGCTTCCTGCTCAAAGCATCTCCTCCAGTCCTAGGTCCCTAAGGAATCTTAGGATATCCAGCGGTTCCAGAGTTGAAATATCTTCCAACTGTATGGTGGGGCTTCCCAGATTCTTCATCCTTGAACGACTAATGGCATTACAATTTAGTAGAAGGTGGTGAGGTGTTTCCTCTCCGTGTTCGCAGAATCTGCAGGTGCCATCCAGACCTAATTTGTGTAGGTGTTTTCTGAGTCTGCAGTGTCCCGAGAGGAACCCGGTTAGCGTTTTAAGACTTAAAGAAACCTTAATGTATGTTGATTTTTAAAGATAGGGCATCATCATTTAAAAGATAGGGCATTGCCCCCCAATGCCCCCCCCTGGCTACGGCCTTGGAGGTTTAGCCTACCCTGCCTCCTCTGACGAGCCGCCACTGACATTTGGACTCATAGTTCCAGAAATAAAATCGTTGTAAGCAATTTGGGGTGATTTATGAATTTTTCAATTTTTCTTAGTGCCTTTTTTCATAGAATCTGGCTTCAAATCTCAGAACAATTTAGTGTATGGAGTTCGGGGGATCCCAAAGGACATTAGTCAATCAAATCTTAACAATAAAAAAAATGAAATTTCATCGTATTAGGAAGAAGGTTTCGTCATTTTGAGAAATTTAGAAGAAGACAATCATTCAAGAGCCTGGAATAAATAATAATTGAAAAATAGAGAGAAAATTACAACATAAAATCTTTGCCACTGGTTTCAAACATAACTTTTTAAATAAATCTTGGAATTTCAGATTTGCTTATATTTAAGTTTTGGATTAAAATAATTTTGGACCGTCTTGATCATTTTGGACTCTTCTAACTTCATATTAAACTGAATCCATTCTTCTATAATCTAATTTAAGAAGTTGGAAAGTTGTCATTTGGCTATCAGCAAGTTTTTTGGACTTATAATGATTCTATTGGTAAACATTTAAATGTCTAGTTAACATCTTCAGAGCTTGATCACAAGTAACTACAAAAATGTCAAGTGCTTTTACTTAGATGGCAAGGCCAATTCTATTATAAGATGTCAATAAACTATATTTATTCACAAAAAATGAAATCAAACAATGACATCACTAATTAATACGCCATTATTTGCTTCAACAATACACAAAACAAATTTATACAAGCCCCGAAATTCCCATTGTCATTCAAAAGTTGAAGTGTTGAAGAATTGACAGAATGTTTTTTTTCTTTTTATTGTATTAATTGCCAGTCAGCAAATTAGCAACTTGAAAAGGCAACAAACCATTTTTGGCATGAGTACATCGATTGATATACATTGTTGATAAAACTATAAACGGTTGAAAGATTGAAGATAATAATATATTTTTTTCTTTTTCATAAATAAATCATTTCAAAATAAAAGGCCATTTTTCATCATAGAGAAAGCATTTGCATAAACAATCAGCCGTCTAATTGCGACTTTTCTCATAGAATTAAGAAGTTTACCGAAAACGGTATTATCTTGGCTGTAATTACAAATGTGCCGGCAAACGGGTCTAGTATCACTGTCTACTAAATCAACAATGAGAAACTACTACTTAGACATTTTTCCTATATAGCTTGGGAAATAATGACTAATCATGTCTGAACATCAAATGAAACATTTTGTTGTAAAGTAAATTAATTCTCTCACTGTCCATTGTAATTAATGCAACTTATGAGTGCTTCCGCTTTTTTATTTTATTGTTTTTATAATTTAAACATTTCCTAGTTCAAAGGAAAGAAAGAAATGTAAGTTTGTACATACAAATTGTACTTATTATTGTGAGAATGTATTATTCTCGATTGTTCATTCTAAAATATATTTTGTAAAGGTTCTAATGAGATTTTGCCTTCTATATTACCAGGAGATGCACCTCTTTTGTTGTTAAAAATTGGATTCTTCAAGTAAAATTTCTATTAAATGATTATCAATGCCTATTAAAAACTAATTAGAAGAACCTGCTCTATCTCTAGATAGAAAGATTATATTTTCGATTACAGAGAATCTCATTTTGCTGTTTTTCCATTGTCATGATGGTCAATATACTTTAATAAAGGTTTCTCCTCATGTATGAGCTTTCTTTGATGGTAAAAATAGCACCTGATAAGTTACATCAATTAAGTAACAATTAATTGCAAGTATATGACAGAGTTTTTAGGAAATTTTGCAACTTTTTTCAAAGCTGTACTATTACAATTACAAATTCCGCTCTAATTTAACTCAAATTTCGTATTCTTCTGATGGTATGCATGGTGTGTGTAAAAATAAAATCCCAAAGCACGTCACTTTATACGGTATATGATAAGAAGACAAACGAATACCAAGTTGTAGCCCCGACAATAATAGTTTCAACGGTACCAAAAGCTATGTTCAAATGTCATAGTATTGCTGAAATGTGTAGTACTGGTTTCACAGAATAACGGGAATAACAGTTTAAATTTTATTGTTAAGAATTGTTTAAATAATATAAAGATGGACATGAATATGAAGGAATAGTTTTTTGATAAACATTCCTCGAAAATTGAGAAAAAGTTTCTTTTTTGATTCTATTATCTTGAAAATTAAAATGTCTTTAACATAATATCTTAGTCCTAAAATCTGTGTTCCAAATATAAGATACTTAAGTAGGTATCAGAGGGTTTTTGCACTTTTGTCATACACCACTAAGTCTGGGCATCAAAATTGCTTCTTCTTCGGATCCTCCTGAGACAAATTAATACAAGTCGTGCGTTGAATAATTAAATCTACCACGAAAACGATTTTTTGAAAGCAAAATCATGTTTGCCAAAATATTGTTAAAATCTCATTTATTTTATGTTATAGTTACATAGAAAAACATCTATTAACAGATCAATTTGTGTTATTTATAAGGAGATAGTTGAAGTACCTATGGCAATTATTTTTTGAAAAATCTAAAACAATAATTTCACTTTGGTATCAATAATATCTAAAACTTATACGATTTCACCCAATTAGGTACAATTTATTCATGTATTTCTCATTGCAAAAACGTTGAACTCAAAATTGTCTTTTGATGAAGGTTTATTGAATGCAAAATCAATATTTTCTCAATTACTTATCCTAAATTTAAAACATAAAAAACAACTTACCTTGTATTTAGCTTAAAATTACAATAATTCCTGACGTGCAAAGAAAAAAAATCAAAAAAATCCACAAACAAAAATTTTGATTCGCGAATAATATAATATATAGGAAATGGAGAAAAACGTCCTTGCACGGCCTTGCGACCGATTCCAAACCGTATCGTTTCTCCAAGCAAGGCCGTACTTTACTATCAATGCCGAGAGTGCGATCTTCAGTTTTCTTCTTCCGTAACAACTTGTTTCTTCTAAGGCGCTTTTCAACTGATTGGGGAGGACTCGACCAGAAGCGCGACAAAGAAAGCCTTTACCAGACGATTGTTTTAACAAAAAAACAGGTGGAATTCGGTGGGCGGTGGTACCTTATGTGATTACAAGTGGTACCGTTCGTTGAGTTTGAAGATTGATAAGAGATTTTTAGTAGAACTTGGAGGCAAATGCAATCAACACATACTTGAATATGTATTCAATTGATTTAAATTTTTCGAAAAGTCTGAAATTTTCAATGCTTATAGTTAGATTTTTTAGAATCTTCAGAGGATTCATTCTTAGCTTTTTGAATTGAAAAAATCCTCAAAGTCTAAGTTTTATTAACCTTGAAAAAGGAGAAGCTTCAGAGCTTTCACAATGTTCAGTCGGCCGATTCTTTATTCTATGTATTAAATACTTAAACAATGAGGCTTAAGAATCTTCCTTTTTGTTAGTCTCTGAAGTTGTATCTCAACCATCTTTACTTTGTCGTTACAAAAAGTCTTCTCTTGCAATAAATCTTGAAAGTTTGAAATGAATCTAATTATCCGAACTATTTTTCAGGATTTTAAAAAAATGATTTAACATGAATTGTTTGGTATCAAGTTGGAAAAAGCCACATAATGTCATTTCTGAGCCTTAAATTCAGCCTGTTTTAAATAAAAAGATTCTAGTTAATAAATTCTGAAAGTTTGAAATTGATCTGATTCTCCAAAGTATTTTTCAAGGGTGATTTAACGTGAATTTTACAACTTTTTCTGGTATCAAGTTGGAAAAATCCTCATAATTTTATTTCCTAGCCACAAAATGACTCCAAATTCGCCTTGTTTCATTAAAAGATCTTGATTAATAAATCCTGAAAGTTTGAAATGGATCTGATTCCCCGAAGTATTTTTCAGGATTTTTCAAAAGTGATTTATCGTGAATTTTAAAGCTTTTTCTGGTATTAAGTTGGAAAAATCTTCATAATTTTATTTCTGAGCCTAAAATTGACTTCAAATTTGCCTTGTTGAATGAAAATATCCTGATTAATAAATCCTGAAGGTTTGAAATGGATCTGATTCTCCAATGTATTTTTCAGGATTTTTCAAAAGTGATGCAACTTAAATTTTACAACTTTTTCGGGTATTAAGTTGGAAAAATCCTCATAATTTTATTTCCGAGCCTAAAATTGACTTGAAATTTGCCTTGTTTAATGAAAAGATCCTGATAAATAAATCCTGAAAGTTTGAAATGGATCTGATTCTCCGAAGTATTTTTCAGGATTTTTCAAAGGTGAATTACGAGAATTTTACAACTTTTTTTGATATCAAGTTGGAAAAATCCTCATTATTTAATTTCCTAGCCACAAGTTGACTCCAAATTCGCCTTGTTTCATTAAAAGATCCTGATTAATAAATCCTGAAAGTTTGAAATGGATCTGATTCTCCGAAGTATTTTTCAGGATTTTTCAAAGGTGAATTAACGTGAATCTTGCAACTTTTTCTGGTATCAAGTTGGAAAAATCCTCATAATTTTATTTCCTAGCCACAAGTTGATTCCAAATTCGCCTTGTTTGATGAAAAGATCCTGATTAATAAATCCTAACAGTTTCAAATGGATCTGATGCTCCGAAGTATTTTTCAGGATTTTTCAAAGGTGAATTAACATGAATTTTACAACTTTTTTTGATATCAAGTTGGAAAAATCCTCATAATTTCATTTCCTAGCCACAAGTTGACTCCAAATTCGCTTTGTTTCATTAAAAGATCCTGATTAATAAATCCTGAAAGTTTGAAATGGATCTGATTCTCCGAAGTATTTTTCAGGATTTTTCAAAGGTGAATTAACGTGAATTTTACAACTTTTTCTGGTATCAAGTTGGAAAAATCCTCATAATTTCATTTCCTGGCCACAAGTTGATTCCAAATTCGCCTTGTTTGATGAAAAGATCCTGATTAATAAATCCTAACAGTTTCAAATGGATCTGATGCTCCGAAGTATTTTTCAGGATTTTTCAAAGGTGAATTAACGTGAATTTTACAACTTTTTTTGATATCAAGTTGGAAAAATCCTCATAATTTCATTTCCTGGCCACAAGTTGATTCCAAATTCGCCTTGTTTGATGAAAAGATCCTGATTAATAAATCCTAACAGTTTCAAATGGATCTGATGCTCCGAAGTATTTTTCAGGATTTTTCAAAGGTGAATTAACGTGAATTTTACAACTTTTTCTGGTACCTATCAAGTGGGAAAAATCTTCATAATTCTATTTCTGAGCCTAAAATTGATTCCAAATTTGTCTTGTTTAATGAAAAGATCCTGATTTATAAATTTTAAAAGTTTAAAATGAATCTGATTCTCCGAAGTATTTTTCAGAGGTGATTTAATGTGAATTTTACAACTAATTCTGGTATCAAGTTGGAAAAATCCTTATAATTTTATTTCCGAACCTCAAATTGACTCCAAATTCGTCTTGTTTAATGAAAAGATCCTGATTGATAAGAATTGAAGACGTTCAAAAAATCCCTTGTCTTTGCAGTTTTCACATGTTTCAAATCTCCAGCGAAATCAAGTCCCCACTTCAAACTCTTGAAAAATGAGTTTTCCCTTAAGTCTCCACTTTTTTTTCTTTAGAATCCTTGGTTTTGAGTCGTGAATCTCAAGACAATTTCAAGTTTTTTGAATTCTTCAGTGTCTTTTTAATCAACAAAATCTTTGGAATCTCGATTTTTCTTGGATTATTCTGAGGCTTTGGGTTAATTTTGGGAGTATCTACATCTGAACGTTTTTGATTTTTTCAGGATCGTTGCAGACTTGTAGTCTCCAAAGGCTTTCAATCAATAGCCTCAGAATCTTCAGAGTCTTGATATTTCTGGCGATTTTAGATTCCTCAAAGGCCTAAATCTTGAATCTAGAATCTTAAGTCTTAGGTCTTAAGTGGGCAGAATCTTTATAGTCTTTATAGTTTTACTTTAGAGCCTTTGAAGATTTTAATTTCCAATCTACAGCTCTATGCTCTAGAATCTTCTGAGGACAGTCATGAGCCTTGAGTTGAGAACCATCAGGATCTTTAAGATCTTCTGAGTTTTTGAAATCCTTGAAAATTTCAAATGAAGAGACTGACAATCTTGAGTCTTTAAATTTTTCTGTGCCTTAAGAATCTTCGAAGGTCCTTCCAATCAACCGAGCCTTTTAGAGTATGTGTTCTTAAATTTTGACAAATGAGTCCTCCAAGGATTCAGAATCATCAATGTCTTTAATGCTGATTCTTAAAGGCTTTTATAATCTTAAGTCACGAGCCTTGTAGTTATAATGAAACATTACAAAATCTTCAATAATTTCGGAGCTTTACGATTACTTTTTTCAAAGGATTCAATTTTTGAATGTGAAGAGCCTTGAAATTTTTCAACGTCTATAGAATATTTATAGGCCTGGACATATTTGGAATTTTTCAAAGGTTCTATTACAAGCTCTTAAATTCTCTTCATCTAGAGGAGTCTAGAAAAAAACAAACATTCAAGATCTTGGAATAAACAATAATTGAGAGGAAAAATCTGAAAAATAGAGATGATTGAGAAAATATGTAAAAAAATGGGTTAGAAAAATCATTCTTTCTCTATTACAGGCTCTCTAAGAGACGTTTAGAAAAAACATTAACTGAGAGGAAGAAATTTAAAAATTGAGATGGGAAATTGGAAAAAAATTGTGTAAAAATTGGTTAGAAAAATCATTCTTTCTCTATTACAGGCTCTCGAGTTCTTTTCATTTAGAGGATTTTAGAAGAAAACTAAAATTCAAGGGCCTGGAATATACAATCATTGAGAGGAAGATATTGAAAAATAGAGATGGTCATTTTGAGAAAAATTGTGAAAAAATTCGTCAGAAAAATCATTGTTTCTCTATTAGGAGGCTCTTGAATTCTCTTCATTTAGAGAAGTTTAGAAGAAAACAGACATTTAAAAGCCTTGAATGAACAATAATCGAAAAGAAAAAATTGAAAAAGAGATGGGAAATTTGAGAAAAATTGGTTGGAAAAATCATTATTTCTCTATTAAAGACTCTTCCTAAATTCTCTTAATTTAGAGAAGTTTTTCTGAAAACAAAAATTTAAGAGCCTGGAATAAATTAAAAATTGAAAAATAAAGAGGGAATTTAAAAAAAGTCTTCCTTTTTCCATTTCAGGCTTTTGAATTTCCTTCATTTGAAAAACCATAGAAGAAGACAAATATTCAAGAACCTGGAATAAAGAAGTAAAATTGAAAAATAGAGAGCAAATTACAACATAAAATCTTTGTTAAGGCTGGAATCTACAAGCTATTAAGCCAACAAAATTTCTGGCACATACATGACTAATCTTGTTTAAAGCAAAAATTTCAATCTGCGTCGTTGAATAAGATTTTTGCGCTGAACAAAATCAGAATGATGAAAGAAAGTTTTCATTAATCCACCTTGTATAAAACCGACATCATACCTACCTACTTTCAAACTTTTTGCTTTTCCGCAACCGTTTTTTTAGTTTCCTTTTATTATCGATAAACACTTAGACTCATTTATGGTATTAAGTTTTATTATTATTTGTACCAAGAATATATAATTTACTTTTTTCCTCTGATGGAGCTTAATTTCTCGTTTTACGATGGGAATTTTATTAGTTCCAAAGAATTTTCTATAATCCTTACAGCGACAAAATTTAATTTATATTTAATATTATATGGTGAGAATGAATATCAATCAAATTGTGTATCAAACGAGATTTTAACGAGTCTCGCGGTGTAATTCTCCGTAAAGGCCAAGACTACAAATGCATGGCTTCTTATCAATATTAAAACAAGACCATTTTGCATAGTCCGATCTGCACAATTAACCACACAGCCTGAATTAACATCAGAGAAAATTGTTCATTTTTGCATAATCGTTCAGTCTAGAAGTAAATTATTTCGATTGCTAAAACTAGACCACAAAATAGTATTCTTATCTTTTTCTTTTATATGTTGATGATAGAGAAAAAAGATGCACACAATA